GATCTGGGAATCTCTGATTTATGACTCGAGCCTGATCCCGTTCAAAGGCCCCTTTACTGTTGGATGAAACGGTTAGCAGTATAGCTGCCATTTGTATGCCTCGCAGTATTTGAAAACTACATTTTCCAAGAGATGGAGCTTCTGCCACCACGGTGAAAACCGGTCTTATGGATACTGCCAATGATTAGGGCTGATTATTTGTACCTTCCTGTCCATTGTTGTGTTTTGCTCTGAAAAAGGTAAACAAAAAAGTGCATCTGGAGGTAGAGGAGCGAGGAGTTCTTCTTACCTCACTTCTTACCAATTTATTAAATAAATCTGTATAAGCAAATGTAATCAAATTTGATGAATTTGCAATAAATCTTATCGTTTAGACCATATAATATTCACTTTTTGTTGACTCTATGTCATTTATTTTTCAGCTGTAGATAGTGGTGGCATTGTACTGGCCAGGAGTGTACGTAGAGGTGTCTGTCATTTTCTATACCCTTAATAAATGTGAAACAAAGTGGAGAGTGAAGAAAACTAACTGCAGACTACTTGGTTAAAACAGGAACAGATGAAGTATTTTAGCTTCTTCTGCTAGGACACCTGTCTAGATACTATTAAAACAAAGATCTGTTTTTATACTTACGATATTGACTGTTGTCTTGCTCTGGGGGAGGAGTGAAAGTCAAGATCTGCCAATCAATATCTGGCAACGTCTGGGAGTCTTCCAAAGTAACCCAGACCACTTCTTCTTGAGAATCCCTGGCTGGAAGAAAACCCACCCTCTGGACAGAAATGACATTGCAATAGATGACATAAGTTCTCCATTGTATTAAGTTTATTTTTTTTTAGTAAAACTCTTTTGTAAGAGGTACAAAAATTCCATTTATGCAACAGCATTAGTATATACTTTATATTAAATACTCCAACTACAACTTAAAGAAAACACTGATCCTACCAGACTTGGAGGGCAGTTTGGAGAGGAGCAGCTGACCACCATCAGATCTCTCTCAATGTTCAACAGACACCAGTTACCAACATCAGACTCTACAGACAAACAAAGAACATCTTTACTCAGGTTTAAATAAACACATTCAAGCAATCCCACAACACTAATGCGGTGTGCAAATTAGCTATTAGAGACTGTCAACACCAAGCATCCGTGAACAAGACTGTATTGACCTGAGCAATGCTGATAATTACTCACTTGAAGTCAGAGAGGTGATGCTCCCAGTGCTTATATCCACCATCAATAGGTCCTACAACAGAGACAATACCAACTTTATTCAGAAAAAGATAATTCAAATATTCTCAGTCTAAATATTTCCAAAATGTAAATTCATGAGCAAGCTTTATTGTCCAATTGTTGTCATAACAACAAGTAATTTCCCAGGAGCTGACAGTACCTTGCGGCTGCGCTGAGGACAAGCAACAATAACACGCTGACTGTCAGCTGACCAGCACTGAGGGGACAACTGGGAGCTGTAGATACCAGTAAAGCCATCTGTAAAGTCAAACAAAACACACAGACACAACTACGTTTGATATATACTCACAAAAAGGTGCATTGCTGTGACCATCAAGTATTCCTTACCCTCTCCAGGTCGCTTCACCACATCCACCACTACTGAGGTCTTCTTAGTATACCAGTCATACTAGAAATAAAAGGATGGAGGGAAGCATACGAAAACACATTATTAACTCATAAATGTATTTCTGTCTAATGTCTACAACCCCAAGATGGTGCACTGTGTGAAGAAACAAAAAATATTTTCAGGGAGTACAGTGCACTTCGTAAAGAAGGGAAAGTCCATCCTGTCTTACCATACAGAGCTTACTGCACTGCATGTGTGGTCCATAGACAGAACACTCCAGGTAGACAATCCGACACTGGTCTGGGCTCAGCCTGGGGGAGCACACTGCACTGGTGCCTGATGACAGCTGCTCTGAGGGCCACAAACAAATACAATATACATAAACATCTGCAATAGTTATATATGTGTGTGAAATGGTCAACTTGGATACAAAAAGTGAATTCTTATTAAAAATAAATAAAAAATAAATAATTCAAGGATCACAGTTGTGTTGTCGTGCCACACTTGTCATGCACATTTAGTCATGGTGTCTACAGTGCTCAACACAAAAGTTAATCAAGGACAATTGGATAATTTTATAACATAATAGCTCAGAGGGGATTACAATGTGCACGGCTTGGTGTGAAAGGTCGCCTGTGCACTACAGATTTAAATAACAAGAAGACAGAAGTTCGCTTACCACATTTCCCACCCATGAGATCCACATAGAACAAAGATGACCTGACAGAGAAAAGGGAACAACCGGATAATATTAGCCTATGGGCCTCACTAAGGAAGTCTCTCATAGGTCAGCTTTAATTTTTCTCTTTGATGAGAATGAATCAGTAATCACCTCCTGTTCGGACAGTATTTGAGTCCAAGTCTGAAAGGCTCATGCCACCAGCCTACAAACACCACACCTGTGTCACCAGGAGCCCAGAATGCCTGCAGAGACAGAGACAGAGTAACAGAAAGACAAACAGACAGCAACAGCAAGAGCACATTGGAAGTGCAAATAAACATGCACCACTGCACAAACTGCTGTGCCGACCTGTCCAGGCGAAATATTTTCAGGCACTCCCTCCAACACAGAGACGTTGTCACCCTCGATGTCCAAAACACAGAGCACTGGACAGCTCTTACTGACTAGTGCCTCTCCCCAGTCCTCATGGAAGACAAACTGCTCCCCCTGCAGGGATAAAAAAGCACAAATATTACAGTTTAAGCTAGAGTGGAATGTAACCTAAGAATGTTGATTAAAAACTTTGAATAGTGAAAATCTTTTGTATTTCAATAATTGCATTCACTTTTACAGCCTCCTTTTTCTCCACTCTCATGGTCTCCTCCTCGTCCCCAATGGAAGACAACTCTGGTGACTCAGTCTAAAAACAGAAAATGAGAAACAATAACGAGTTATTAGTAACTAGTCTGACCCTTTTATTGCACTAATCGCATCAACCAATGGTAAATGGTGAATCAACACTAAATCTCATACAATATCAGGAAGAAAACTATCTTCTCTGCTCTTATGACCACACCCAATCAATGTTGTCATGGTATTTTGCTTTTGAACAGGGAAGGAAAATACCTGGTGGGCACTGAAAGCATTTGGAGAATGCAATTCTATTATGATTGAGCAATAAGCTTCCTTTCAATGGTATGCAACAACTTTTGGGATATATTTAGTCTGAATAGCTAGAAATTAGTGCCAGCCACTTAACGCTGTGCTATGCTCTGGGGACTATTGAACACAACCCTTGCAATGACAACAGGGAGAATTAACATGCTTGACATTTTTACCTATCGAGAGCAGTGCAGCATTTCTCTGCCCGATGTAATTCAGTGCTGATTAACCCTCAAACAGTTTTGCTGACAAACCTGGAAAAAGGATTCTGCCTTAGGTCTCTTCCTTTCTGCCAAATACAGGAGATGGGTCTCAGAGTGGGACCAAACCAAGCAGCCAAACTGCTCTGTGGATACAAAACAGAGTGTGATTAACACATGCACTTGCACATGTAAAGACAAAGTTTCAAAGAAATAAGTAAACAAAAACAAATGCTGATTTCAAGTGCAGATGACTCACCGTCTTCATAGACTTTGCCATGCTTCTGTAGGGCTGTCAGATTGATGCTCTTCATCTTGATGTTTTTAGTCCAGATCTGAAAGGTCACGTAGAGGTCAGGAGAGGAGATAGAGGGTTTAAAGTCAATGCAAAGTCACATGAGGTTTTAAAGACAGGCTACCTGCGGAAAATGTAGCACACAGGGGGCAACAGAAACGGTAAAGCAGAACAAAGACATTGATCAGGGTGGGCGAGGAGCTGAATGCTGAGTGTGAGCCAGACAGGCAGCCACGCACCTCCAGGAACTGTTTGTCCTCTCCTTTGATTGTGCACTCTCTGACAACAGCCTTCATTTCACCCGAAGGGGAATCCTTACTTAGCAACCTGACAGGAGAAACATAATGACGATGAGACAGTGTTTTCTCAGGGTTAGGACGATGAGAACATCTACAAGCTCGCTCCAGATAAAATGACAAAATGTTTACATACTCTCCTTTGATCTCAGTGCAATTTCCTGAGGCTCCAGAGTAGACCACCGACTTGTCATCGTGGAATACAATGTACTGTCGGCAAAACTTGACATTCTCATTTCTCTCCAGGTCACGCTGGCTCCATTCTGCAAAAGAAAGCGAACACAATGCTATCAATATCAATATCAATATCAATGATTATACACACACACATCTGAAAATCTTAGCACAGCACAGACTAACTCTACCTGTGTAGATGTTGCTGTATTTGCCTCCATACTGAGAGGTGACAACAGGTCCCAAATCTGCTCTGCTTAAAGAAGGGAAGAGGCTGAGTTCCCTGTAGAGCCTGGCAATTTCCCCGGGGTTGGTCATCACCTGACAACACGCAGCAGAATAACTTATACTACGTCTCAGTGATACAAACTGTTTAACAGCGAACAATGCCCTCTTCATTCCCAGCCAGGAAGCTAGCCGGCCATACATAAGTTTGTAGAGTTAACACAGTTTACCACCAAAAACAGGAGTCAAGTTTTATAAAGCATTAGCCGTTATGCAAACAAACCAAGCGATAAACAAAGCAACCAAGTGAACAAGCTAGTTCGTTTCGCTCCAGCGTTGACCAGGAACTTCCTGTGGCAGCTGACAGCCAACAACCGAACCAGCGTCTGCCCGCTAGCTTTAACTTGGAAGCTGGCTAACATTAATTGACTTATCACCAAAAAACAAAAACAAAAAAGCGTAATTAATGCCAGTTATACATTTGCGCCTTACGTTACTATGAGGTTTATTTATTTAGGGTATGTTATTTGTTCAGAAGCAAGAAATAAGTTAACGTTAGCTGAGTCTAACGTTAATCATACCTGTGACTCCATGACAGGGACGGTGTGTGTCGCTAGTCTGCAAACATGAAGCAGTTGAGATCACAATGGAGTGGACGCTCCAGAGTGAAGCTATACGAAATCAAACGTCACTTCAACTTCCTGTTGCGACTTGAGAAAATAAAATAAAGTCCATGACGAACACTTCCCGAGTGAGGCAAAACACTGGAATTTAAGAATTAATTAATGATCAGTAAGAATGAGTAACTGCTATCGCACAGTAATCTACAACTTGTGCCGCGCAACTAGGAACATCGTTCACTAAATACAACAGTTTATTCACGGCAGTAACATATGCCTATGCTTTTATTTTGTAGGCATATCACCTCTGCAATACTCAACAGGAAGCAGTAGACAATAAAATAACTGCGCTCTTAACGCCCTCTTGCGTTGTAAACCACAGTCTTTGGGCCATTTAACATTGTGACCATGCAAAGTCGTTGATTTCAGTTTGTTGCATTCTTACCCAAAGCACGATAATATTTATATTTTGACGAGTTAATGTTTAAAATCACTTTGTATGTTATTATCCATTCAATTTCTTAATGTGTGAATGACAACCGCCTCACTGTTACTGTCAGTCAGCTGGGGTAGGTGGGGTCACAAAGAGCCAAGATGGCTGACTTTGAGGAGCCGCTGTCAGATGATGAGAAGGTTTGGATACTATTTATTCCTCTGTTTCACGCCAATTTCTATTATTTATAGAGACCTAACCGTGTTATATGTTCGCACGAATTAACGGTTAAGCCGTGGTAGGAGAGTGCCAGTTTTTGCTCACGTATTGAAATGATAAACTTGTGTTTTTAAGCGACCACTCGCTAACTAGCCAATGCTAGTTGAAGAACACAGTTGGGCTAGCGCTGAAATCCAACGCCAATAGAGGGGTTTAACCACTGGACGCTTGGACTGAAAACTTTTTGGTAGTTGTGCCTAGATTAGTGGAAATAGAAGCGCCGACACCAATGTACATTTCCTGCAGTGTCCACACCAGCATGTAATAATTAACGCTACAGTGTTGGGGCGACGGATTCCTCTCATATAACGGTGGCTAACATTAGCGGCTAACGTTACTTTGCTGTGGATTTCTGGGTCAAACAGATTCAGTTGCAGCTCAAATACTTGTTAGCCTCACATGGCTTGAGATCGGGATATGGGTGCCTACAAATTAGATGGAGCCTGATAGTGACACCCAAGCAATACCAGTGGCAGCTGGACACATTGAGTTACCAGTAGGAGGCAAAGCTTTAATTATTGTGAATGACATAGAGTAGGGTTTATGATACAGGCGAGAGCTGAAGTGTACGTGCACCCTACAAGAAAATGATCTGAGCATTAACGGGGTGGTTTCAAAGCTAGAAACAAGAGTAGCGACATTCTCTTGAAAAGATGGAGAGATCTAAGATTAAAGGTCTGTTGACGGTCGACCGAAAAACTGAGGGCAAGATGATGGCATGATTTCAGACATGACACAAACTCGACAAGTCGTTTCTAATTCAGTTTCCATTCTGTATTCTGTATGCTTGAGATGCCTTGATGTTTATCCCACTGCCCTCCAAATTACAAATGCTCTAATTAAACTATGACAATTATACTCTCTGAACTTTGTAAGTATTTTGTTTTGTTGTTGTGTCGTTGACTGACTTTGTTTTGTAATTGAGAGCTATAGTCCTTCCTAGTTCAACTATAACAGATCTCTCATTGCTACTGAAAATACTTTTTTGTATGTCAGTATGGTAAAGCCACAGCTAGATGCCACTTTTTGGATTGTTGACTTGTTGAAATGAAAGTACAGTGTTTTGCTTCTAGAATAGTGTCATGTTAATTACAGGTAAATATTAGTTTGTGGTTTTGACAGATATTGTAATTGCGACTTGATTCCCGATTAGTGTGGAAATGATTATTTTTGCAATTGAATTGAATTTTCACTGAAAAAAACTATAAAAATAATAATGTTCAGAATTGTTTGAGGTCTGTATCAAACAGACATGTTTTTTTTTTTTAAATCTGGAGAACAAGATTTGTATGCCAGACGTCTCAATACGTAGCAATACAGTACTTCATCATAATGCTCTTTTGTCTCTTTTACCTTTGTCAAAACATTTCTGCCTCTGTGATTTGCATATTGCACTTTGCCATGTTGATAATATTTCAATTAATTGTGCAGCCCTGATTTGTGTCGTCTCTCTTTGTACTGATTTTGCAGCAAGTCACATTATCATGATCGCTGAATTGATTGGTTGCATTTCATTTGCTTCTGTAGGTCCGCATAGCGGCCAACTTTGTGACTCATGCCCCTCCTGGAGAGTTCAATGAAGTCTTCAATGGTAAGAACTGAAGTAGATACCTATGATAATCTAATATAATTTGCCTCTGATAATAATATTTTATTGTCTTACAAGAGTGCTATGCAAACAGTGGTTTCTTTTGTCTTGGTAGATGTGCGGCTTCTTCTCAACAATGACAACCTCCTCAGGGAGGGGGCTTCACAGTAAGTAACACTCAATTAATGACAAATTCAAATACTCATAATGTACACAGTTCCATATGGGAGGTATATTTGCAAAGTGGGGTATATTATATTAGGCAGTGCAGAACATAAGCAAAGCCAGTGTTTTGGACGTTTATTGAAAGCATATTGGTGTCATATTATGAATGCCTGCTGTACCTTTGTGCCCATTCTATTTGTCCAGCTCCTTTGCCCAGTACAACATGGATCAGTTTACTCCTGCCAAACTAGAGGGCTATGATGAGCCGGTATGTTTTGTCCTTAAGTCTATATTATTTATTCCAGAAGAACGAGTGTCAAAGCAAGACTTTCTTTCCCTTCTCTATAGGTCTTGATCACAGAGCATGGTGACTTGGGTCAGGGACGTTTCCTGGACCCCCGCAACCGTTTGTCGTTCCGCTTCGACCACCTAAGAAAAGAGGTCAGTGACGTACAGCCATATGAAGGAGAGATGGCCCTGAGAAGCTGGAGAGATGCCTGTGATACTTCCCTTAGTGCCTATGTCAAAGAGCACTACCCTACTGGAGTCTCCACGGTAAGGCGCACAAAAAAGTGTGACCAAATAGTAATGTAAGCAATAAAGACTACATTTCACCCATAACCATACTTACCCATACCATCTGTTTGTTGCAGGTATATGGGAAAACGGTTGATGGTCAGCAAACAATCATAGCCTGCATTGAGGGACATCAGTTTCAACCCAAAAACTTCTGGTATAGTGACCTCCCTGCAAACAGCTGTTTAAAAGCATATCTGAATATGTGTTTATGTAATAGAATATTTATAACATTGCTATCATAAATGTTATAAATGAACTGCTTTATGTATGTTTTTTTATTTGTGGTGAAAGGGAAATAATTTGTCTCCTTGAGTTTATATTAAGTTTCGTGATGCTGCTGTCTGATTTTAATCTAGTGCTTCTCTTCATTTCTCTAACACAGGAATGGTCGCTGTAGGTCAGAGTGGAAGCTTACCATTGGTCAGTCCACTGCTCAGGTGGTGGGAGTGTTGAAAATCCAGGTGAATTGAATTCAGTGTGCTCATCTGCATAAATAATTAATAAGTCAAGGAGAAATATTTTTTTTAGAAACTCCTTGCTAATGAGTTTCCACTCGGTCTCCAGGTGCACTATTATGAAGATGGGAATGTGCAGCTGGTTAGCCATAAGGAGGTAGAAGAGTCAATACCAGTGACTGTAAGTAAAAGGTTTCATCAAGCACTAACGCAGTCTTTCCGCACTGATTTAACAATATGTTGCTTAGATAGTATAAGACTGGTTGTATCAGTTCCAGGTAGATACAGAGCAAGTCATCCATCTCTGTTGGTAGGACTAAAGGTGATGATTATATGTGTGCTTTTTTAAAACAGAATGAAAGCCAGACAGCCAAGGAATTTGTTGACATCATTGAGAATGCAGAAAATGACTACCAGGTAAGCTACCTCGTTATTGATTACGCATGTTTTTATGTCTAAAATTAGATTTTAAAAAAGGTTTATATCATTGAAGATATACATAAAGAAAATGTTAAAATATTATACTTATTTGTTTCCCTCTGCTTTTTTATTCCCTCAGACTGCTATCAGTGAAAACTACCAGACCATGTCTGACACCACCTTTAAGGCCCTGCGTCGCCAGCTGCCTGTCACACGCACTAAGATCGACTGGAATAAGATCCTAAGTTACAAAATTGGCAAGGAGATGCAGAATGCCTAGTGGAAGGTCAGGGACTGACCAGTGAGACACAAGCTCCACTGGGCCCACAACCCACCTATACATGCGCAAGGACTAACCAAAGCAAAACTATATCAGTATGGGGCAAGGTATTAATATTTAAAAAAACAAAAAAAAGGAATAACTGAAAGATTTGCAGACTGTTAGGCACAGATATACGTCTGCTGTAAGGTTGCGGTTATGGAGATAATCATGGTAGAAAATGGTTACTTCTGGATGTGTGTTTTGAAAGAGTTGTGTTGAGTCAGTGTGCAGGGCTGTGCTCAGGACTGCTACATTAAAGAAGTAAATCTTCCTTCGGCTCTAAGGATTCACAGGCCTCTGTAGATTCAGGTGTTAGAAGTTACAATATTTCTTTTTTTAGTCAAACTGATGCAGAACTCTGACCATCTCACAGTAAAGATCTCAGCACACAGGGAAAAGAACCAAGGCAGCTGATGAGAAAAATAAAGCACACATATCGGGGTTTGGTTTTGGACAGGAAAATATGAATTTTGTAAAAGTTTTGGTTTCATTGTTGTCATATATGCTGGAATTGGAAGTCTTGTGCGTCGGTAAAATCGTGACATTGACAGGAAAGTGAATAGCAGTCATCTGACATTTAACTGGTACCAAGCTTATAGTATTGCTGCACTGACAACACAGTTTTACATTGCCAATGAAATTGACAGTGTTTCTACCTGTTGTTAACATTTAGGAGTAGCACAATCCTCAGCATAGCTCTGTCCCCGCACTGTAGACATTTATATGCTTGTCGGTGTCTGTCAGGGCTGAGGGAATGTTTACTTGTTTTCTGTTGTGCTCCACTGATGTACATGTCTCCACCCATGCAAGCTATG